GACMGGGAAACTTTAGCATGCACTGTCCACAACTTGCCTAACATCTGCAAGATAATCAGAAACAGAAGTGTGTAGATGGAGTTGGGGGCATATTGTCATTCTGATCATTTCTCTGTGATCAGAAGCCATGAAGCATGGGGAGAAGGAAATAAGCAGACCACAAACAGGGCAGGAACAAGATCTCCAGGAAGGAACCAGAAAATGAGAGATTTGGGTCAAGAGTGAACTGTGCTCAGAAATACTACTTTCCATTGCTGTACTCTTTCGTTGCCTGGAATTTGTATACATTTTATTTAGAAGAAAGAGAAATGGTACATGACACATGACTGATTTCTAACAATTCAGAGCAGTTCTYAATAAAGAGGATTAAATGTTGTTTCCTTATCAATGCAAGCTAACATCCACTTTGTTACCTTTGGGAAGAACTAAGCAAATGGTTATAATAATAGAATTATTGCATTTTGAAAAGGTAGGTCTTCATCCTACAGTGACCAGGAGAATTTGCTTCTTTCACCTTCCTCATTCCTATAAATGTGACTAATTGTGGTGAGACAGGTTCACGACCCACAGAATGAAATGAAGGATAACAGCCCACAAGAATAAGATGTCCCTCTGTGTAAACAAGGATTAAGTGCTGTTTTTAACTACAAGGTGGCTTCATTGCTCCCACTTGTTTTATGGATTCTTCACTGTCAATTATTTAATTAAACTCAAGACACAGGCCTGGCTTTATCATTACTGAGCCTGTGAGCAATCATTAGGTGTCACTGAGCCAGCTCTTTGTGTCGTTTGGCAAACCTTTACTTTGAGGATAGGATAAGAATAGCTTMTTGGGTCTTGCTTGGCTATCCTGAAATCGATGGGTGGTATCAGATCCTGAACAGCAAACCTCTGCAGAATATATGGAAGGTAAAATATAGGGTCAGGAGGCCTGTTTGGCTGTTGCATTTCATCAGCATTATAAACATATACCAGGCCAAAACCAGAGTCACACACTGTTGAATCAGCTTTCTAGTGCCYCATGGAAATACCCTGCTTCCCTGCAATAATCTTCCCACAGAAAGCTTTCTAAATTATATCATCATATTTCTCCTTCCTGGCACTCTTTAACTCTTTCTCCTGTGAAAATTCAGTAATAGAGGAGTTCTTTGATAACATTAGTTCTTGTATACTTCTTCTTTTTTAATGTTTTATATGGCTTATCTTTCTTATTTTATTCCACCCTGAAAAACATTTCAGCTCATCTGCTGAAATTGCTATAGTTTTTGCTCAGTGCTTTTAGGTCCATACTCCTCTCCCAACTTTTTCCATCGAGGAAGCCAGGATCTGAGATCCCTCCTGTGTTTAATTTAATCAGCATTTCAGATTAGCTCAGCGCTGCCCATGTGTGTGAGGGAGCAAAAGAAACTGTGCATGAACTTTGTGATCACTGCTTACTTAACAAGACTGATTTTCAGCTTTTCTGTAGGAACAACAGAATCAGCTTAGTGAAAACTTTCATTGCTCTAAACTTCTCTTCAGACATTGAGAAAAAAAAAAGACCCAATAAAAAGATGGCTTGAGGGTGGAAAAGGTGACAGGAACAGAGGTTTTCTGCTGTGAGAGTTCCCAGGTAACAGGCAACCCGGGCTTCTTGAGCTATTTCTGAGACAGGCAGGCAGATTGCTGAGTCAGTGCTCTTACAGTGTCCTTCAAGAAATAATTAAAACCAGTGAAAAATATGCCTTGCTTCCTCAGTCGGATTTTTTTCCTGAAACTGTTTTGAATAGCTTTGGCTGGAGGAAATGGGAGACAACTGCCATTATCACATAAAGGCAAGACGGCTTCCTCCAGGACAAAAGTCACAGGTATATGGGTCAAAACAGCAGCTGGAAGTCTTTCAAACACATGGGCTTTTATTAGACAGACTCAGAATAATTGGAGAAGGTTTGKACTAGACCACCTGGAAGCAAACTTCAGATGTTTACCAGTAAGGATAAAGCACCTCTGCYTAACCTTTCTTGTTACAGGAATTTTGCACAGCTTGATTTAATCTGGGTTGAGATAACAAGCCTCGTATATGAAGTTCTCAGGAGACTTTTGTTCGACTCATTTTCCAAATAAGCTCCAAACTTGTAATATTGTTGTAAATGTACATTAATTACCCAGGAACCATGGACGTATTTGGCAAAGCCGGTTGCCACAGCAGTTGTTGCCGTGCTACGTGATCTATTTTGCATTTAGCTTTTTGGTATGGTAATATTACAAAATGAGCACACTYGCTGTGGGGAGAAAAACAGCAACCCACCAAGCCTCTTTTTTCCTAATATGGTGAAATAAAAAGCCTTGGTCTGAGCCAGCTGAAGTGCTGATGGAGTCAAAGCCCAAGGATCAGTGTGGTGTGGCGCCTGCAGAGCACAAAGGTCGTGGTCAAGATTCACCCTGGGAGGGCAGGAAATGTTTAAATTCCCTGACCATGACTAAATGATGGGAGCCAGTGATGCTGTCAGGGATGCCCTCTTCTCATCCCAGCTCGTGTTTGATTCCAGATTGGTGAGAGCATTCCTTCCTGCAGTCACTGCCTCGGGAGCTCTGTGCTGTGCTTTACAGCTCATGTRGGAATTTACTTTTCACAAAGGTTTATATAAAGCAGGGACATGAATTTCTCAGTGGGCAGCAGTGTGGGGGTCTCAGGCTCCAAGCTGAACAGGGGKTTGGTGAGGGACAAGCTGCATCAGGAGGACAGACACCAGGCCTTGGCATCTCCTCTGCTTGCACAGTGGCCAGTGAGCAGGGGCCCCAAACACCGTTAGAGTAGCAGGAAGTTTTGCCTTTTTCCTTATTTGTGTTCACTATCACTTTTTAAACAAAGGAGCTCARCTTTTCACAGCAGCAAGCAATTGGTTGGTGGGTACTGTTTCCCCCATCCCACCCACCTCCCAGCTGAAGAGATGGGGTTTTCTGGCTGCTTCTTGGTTGTTCTGCTTCTGCTGGTGGAAACCTCTGCTCGGGGATGCTCAGTACACTATTAAGTCCTCATACTTAAGTCCAGGGATCCTTTTTTTTTCTTACTTGCTAACACAGGGAAGAGGGATAGGTGAATCCATAAAAGAAAGGGAAATGCATAAAAAACCCCCAGAGATTGACATGTCCAGATACATAATTCCAGTGATGATAATTTATCAGGTACCCCAGTTGTTCGAGGCTTTGCGAACAAAAGCCGACTGAAACTCACATCTCCCCAGAGGGAGGGCTGCAACGAAAGCACTCAAATAACTTTAACCACACTTGTGTCATGAATTCCTCTTGCATTTGGTGACTGTGGCTTGTTCTAATTAAAACAATAACGGTTTCAGCACTGTGTTTTAAAGCAAACAATCTGTTTATGAGGGGAGAAAAGGAGAGAAACCCTGAAGACAGCMCTTCTCTTCCCAGAGAACGTGCCTCCACCGCCCCATAGCACGTTCTCTCCTGCTGCAGTGTTGTCACCCATCAAAAAGTTTTGCTTCCCAGCTTTGCTTCCAAGAGCACAGGGGCTGGTTTGGCAGCTGAATCATCCATATTGCACCTACAAGTGTTCAAAAAGAGGAAAAAGGGCTTAGCTTTGCCTTTTCTAAAGCCTGATCATGTCCAAAGCTGGATTTGTTGTGCTCTGTTGTTTCCACCACAGCTCCCCAGCCTGGGGCTCAGACCTAGCCCAGAAGGAACCACCCAGATAAAGTGAGGAGGCTCCACCAGCCCCAGGGAAGCAGCCAGCCCTTCCCTGGCAARGAGGGATGAAGCAGAAGCAGCAGAGCAATGAGGGAGAAGCATGCCCCGTCAGCTTTATTAAATAGTACATTGTTTATACATCCATTAGGAAAACTTTGATAAGGAGGGAAACACTGAAAAGGAAATACCTTTTTTTTAGTGGAGTAAAAGTGATGCCTGTGGTTTTAAACAAAGGCGTGTTGGCAGGATMATGCTGTACAGAAAAGGAAGAGAAAGGGAAACTGCATTTGAATTAATTCAGATAAGTGAAGGTCAGAAGACCTTATGTCAGAATTTTCCATTAATTCCTACAGTCTAGTTCTCTGCCAAAATTGTGTTACCTCCTAACTCCTTTGTACAAATATTGTTGTGGTTATTACTACTGATTACTATATCYACTGCAATTACACATACAAAAGCTGTTTACAGGATTGCTGCCATAATAATGCAAAAGAGCAAAGTCAGACAATATTCATGGTGTTACATGAGATTTTGAATGGATTTGTACAACTGTCTTCAGCTGCAAGTGCTTACAATGCAGAAAAAAACAAGAACAAAAGAGTAAGGAACAAACTTTGTTTTAACTCAATCACTGTATTGAATCTTAACTTGAAACTTGATTTTTAGTGAATCATAATTTTTTTGAACATGTGATCAAAACCTTCTGTGTGAGCTAGAACATACTACTTTAATTCAAAGACAAATTTTGTTTTAAATTATTTTAAGTTAAGAAGAAAACCAAATCTTTTTTGATGAGTTTTCAAATAAAAGGTAATTTTTCTTCCAAAATAAAATATTTCAAGTTTTTAATTCTTTTTTTTTGAGTGAAGATGAGTTTGTAAAATATTTCAGGATTCCCAAGTCTCATTATTTTTCCCCWGAGAACTTTTCCCTGCAGCATTTCAGCCAGTCAGCAAAATAGGAGGGCATAGAAAGAGAAACTTAGGCACAAAGAATTAATAATAGTTTTCCAGTGTACCTTAGATGGATATCAGTGTCAGAAATTGCATTTCCTGAGTTCCCCTCTAGAGTGGGAAATTCTGAAGGACATTAAAGAGATAAATTATTAGATGAAAAATACATGTCCAGCTGTAATTGCTATGAGTAATGGAGATCATGACATTTACCAGAACTGTGTACTTGGCCTCTGAAATCTTGTTCCCTGCTGCCTGCTACAGTCACAGGTCAAGCCCTGGTTGCCTGCTGCATTTGCAGGGCACAAGTTGGTGTAATGGATAGATAATTTTCTTCGTATCGTTCTCTCTTTTCAGAAAGTCCCTCTCCCGTTGTCGAAGGATTAACAGGATGCTTTCCAACGAGTCAGCCCCTCCTCCTGCGTTCAGTCGCTCCAATTCTCAGGCCTCCGTGGACAGCACCTCCATGGAAGACTTCTGGTGTGAAGTAGAGAGTATCAAAGAGAGCAGAGAAGATGGATCTGAAGAAGCAATGCTCTTGGAGTTCAAACCTGCTGATGGTGAGCACATGAATGCCTYTTCTTCCCCACACTTTGGCTTTGCCTCCTCACTAAAGACTCATGCCCTGATCTCCTTCCTCGTGCAACTCATTCTGAGCAAAAGTACTAGTCTRGGTCTGTGTCATTCTAGCTCCACTTCTCAACATCACTGGCAGTCAATCACTCACTGCAAGAAATAATAATTCAGTCTGGTTTATGCACTGGAGCCAGTAATTAACTTGGAAAGTAAGTTTCTTTGCATTGATTTTATTTGTGCTTCAGGGGGACAGAAACGGTGTAATTCAGAAAAGAAAGGCACTCAATGAAAACTAAATCTACAGCATTAAATAGACTAAACCAAAATATTTAAAGTAGCAAAAGGTCCATTTAGGATGCTGGAATTTTTAATTTTCTCGCTTGYGGTAGGATGTGATTTACAAGTTAATAAAGTCTTGAAGCAGTTGTTTAGTATCAGGAATTTGATACCTGCTTGTTTCTCTGAGATTAAGATAGAGAAGGATTAAGCCCAATTAAGATATCACTCAAGGAGAGTTTAGAAATAAGTCTGAATGTATGGATGCCTAGATCATTGGAGCTCCCCACTTGACCAAATTCATTCATCACTTACACAASGTGTCCTGAAGGTACTACCTCATTCTGTTACCTTAATAAAACCATTCTGTTTCCCCTCTCTTGTCACATACCGTACTTGAAGAAACATGCAGTAGTTCATGCTAGCTTGTTGCAATGCATCTTTTTGTTAGATGATTTGATAACATCTAGAACAGCAGTTCTCAGTTTTTTTTCCAGTTAGGACCCCGCTTACAAATGCATTATATTGTGTAACACAAAATACCAGGTGTTACTATACAATGAAACCGAATTTCTTCTGAGGTCATCGCCAGCTGATAACTGCTGCAACCTTTCTGTGGCTCCTGGCCACTGGGCTGGTAACTRCTGATCTGGGGAGAGATTTTGAAATGACAGTATGTTCTCTCTATACAATTATTAACACAAGTGATGGTGTATTTTTTTTTACCTTGACGTGCAATGGGATGTCATTAATTCTGCTTCCAGGAAGAACAGTGAAAAGGGGGAAAAGTACTACTTTATGAAGCAATCAAATACGCAGTCATGGTACGTAACCCAACAGAGAGCTATTAGTTCCAACCACGTACAGGAAACACCTCCCATTCACCGATTTCCAGCTGGGTGCTCCTGGAAGCAAAGGGAAAGATTTCCCCAGAAATCTTCATTTGCTGTGAGGGTTATGGTCAGTGAGTTTAAATCCAAACCTCACTCCTCTGTTCCTTGTTGGGAAAATTCCTGTCTGATCATACTCTTTGTATTGGAGACTCCATAAAGATTGTGAGCATTTCTGTGTCTTCGTGCAGCTGTCAGCATGAACTAACACGTGTCCCTGACGTGTTGGCATGTTCAGGGGAATGACCCAAATCTGTGAGCTGCCAAGCTGCATAACTTAGTAAGACAAGGCAATATAGGATCTCATTTTCCAGAAACTTTTCCATCAGTTTCATCATGACTGAACTAAACCTTCTYAACAGCCCAAACTCTGCTGCAGTCCCGTGTTGCCCTTTGTCTGATTACACCTCATTACATTGCATTGATTTTTTTTCCCTTCTGCCCTGAATTGAAAATGAGACTGCAAGTCAAAATGCRATATATCTCCACACTTCATTTACCTTCGTATTGTTGTCTTAAACCTCTCTATATATTTTTTTTTGTGTACACCCATACCCAATCAGGCAGTGTTTTTCSTAGTTATTAACATCAGGAATACGTTCAGTCTGGGATTATAAATCTTAGAAATAATAGTGAGTTCTATTAAGGTCCTAATGGGATAATACTCCTTGCCAACGATCAAAACACCAAAAATCAATGTGGAAAACCTCAGGGCAAAATAAAACTGAATAGTCATCACTCTTTTGAGATGTCTTTGAGAGGAGGAGATGAAGATCCTTAAGAAGGAGACCAGGGTGATGGAAGCCAGACAGGCATGATTGTCAAAACCTCAGTGTGATTTGCCAGACATCGTGTGCAAGGGGCAGACAGCAGCACACTGACTCTGTTGATGTTAGCAAATGCAGTCAAAAAAGAACAGAAGATCATGACAAGTGRCACAAGGGATGAAAATGTAGGGGAGGAGAAAGTCGTGATATATTTAAGATGTCTGTGATATGCAGAATCGCTTTACAATTTGGTGTTACAAGGCTTGAACGCTGGGAGTTGTTTAAGGTTATATCTGAAATTCMAAACACTCTTTCCTAGCAGACTCTATGAGAAAAAGAGAATTATCCTCTCAATTATCTGTTTGTCTTCTGGTGGAGCAGAATCAAACACACTATCAAGACCCTGCTGTATAAGTAGCTAACACCATAAAAATAATGTTTTGTGAAAACAATATGGGGAGGTTTTAACCTTAATTTAATAAAAGTGTGTCATAACATTTTGAGGGTTTTTTAATGCATAAATTTCTTCTCTTTATATTTTTACTCCTCGGATTGCTGTTGCTATGTCTTAGTCTTTTGTTTGTGAGTGGTTAGAACAGGAAAAAGGTTAAAAGCCAGAGAAAGCAAGTCACAAAGTGACGGGTAAGCTGGCAGAAATTCGTGTCTGCCCTGCTATTWTTCATAGCATCATGAAAAACAAGTTTGATTACAAACTCAGTTCTTGGAAAGAATATGTCAGGACAAAAGCCAAAATTAATACAATTAGAAAACTGAAACATTGACCCATGTGGCTCCAACAGCAGCACACAAGAATTAAAAGAGATCTTCTTRGAAAGAAGAGTGAAAATGGCAGGAGAACCACTGGTTCAAAACTTACAGAGAAGGAAAAGGAACTGTCTGTCATCCTGTCTGGGGATACAGAAAGGATAAGAGCAGAGACAAGCTATTTCATGGGATACAGGGCTGATCACACCCTGGCTAACAGAGCAGGAGGGTTTAGAAGCAGCTATTTTTATAGTGCTTTGTAAAGAGGCAGGGCAGTTAACAATGAAGTCAGTGATGGCACATGCATAAGATGCTTTTGCTTGTTCCTCCAGTCCAGTCCTGTAATTTTCTCTTTTGTGTATCTAACKGCCTAAGTGCAGCAAACTGGTGTCCATCAATCAGCCTGCATTCTGATGTCAASAAGAGGCAATAAAGGGAGAGTGGAAATACCAACCTGCCATTAAGACTGGCGCTGGGACAAGAACAATAAGTGCATTGACAAGTTGTTTTATAGAACATGCTGCAAATTAATCTGTTTCCTGTTTGACATGTTTATTTGTAGTACTTCTTCTTCAGTCAGGGCTGGAATGAAATTACTGTCTTGTGTCAAGCAGCATACTGCTGAGCTAGRAATGCTCACAAAACTGAAATGAAGGACCTCAAAATCTCCTACATGAAGAGACATTTGAAAAGACCATGACTGTTTACTTTCAAAAGAAGACAAATCAAAAAGCAATGAACCCCAAATTTAAAATTACTGAATGATTCAGAGAAGGTACAGGGGGACCTTTTCCCAGTCAGATAATGATAGGGCATATTCATTTAATGTAACAGGTAGCTGAGAACCTACATTGTGTTCACATGGACAGGTTTTGGTAGCGAGGGGAGTGCAGGTGTGGCTCTGAAAAGATGCCAGAAGCTTCTGCCATGTCCAGTAGAGCCAGGATAAAACACAATTCTTCCCACAATGCATAACCTCACTAGGGAATCAGTTGCAGAACTGAACCAGTTGGGAAGCAGGTACTGAACAGGATTAAAGAAGATAGTCACTAACTGATAGACCAAGAAAYGCTGGGATGTGCAGTACTAGCAAGGCTTTAATCATTAGAAGTTAGGGTGATCCCTAGCATACAAGGATGGCCATTTCTTCATCTTCCTTCCCTAGTTCACCTTGAACATCTACCCCTTCCTGACCCTTGCTCTTCAGTGAGCAGCCCTGGTTCTTAATCATCTTGTTCAAAACAAGCAATTAGACTAGATATACATCACACTTCTCTTGTGGCTTTTTCACCTGCTGACCCCCTGGAATCTCAAATTACATCATTGGTGTGCTTGTGTTGTATACACATATTTGAACTGGAATACCAATTTAATTTCTATCAGCCAATGGTAAGTAGCTTTCTCTAGTACAGGATGTTGTTACCAGTGGTGAGTGTGGCATAAATGGTGAATGAGGGGATTTATGCTCTTGAATTAGGGGTTAATTTCAGGGACACTGCTGTTCYAGGCTGGTTGCTCTGCTGCCTTCTTCACACACATGSTGATGRAAYSCCTCTTCTGTTCTCCCCATCATCCTCTTCTGTGCAGACACTGACAAACTGAAAGTTGGCAATGTGTTTACAAAACTAACTTAACTTTCTTACTTGGCATAAGAAAGGTTRGAATTAGAGTATTTTCAAGGTAGGGGCTGTGGTAGCAGTCCATCCTGCCAACTCCTTTCCTTCATCCCCTGCTCCCTTCCTTGCCAGGCTTAGTAACACACTCTCTTTCTCCACAGAAGGGGAGCTGGAGGCAGAATGGCTGCAAGACGTGGGTTTATCCACGTTGATCTCAGGAGCAGAAGAGGAGGATGGCCAAGCCCTGCTGTCCACTCTGACCAGAACTCAAGCTGCTGCTGTTCAGAAGAGGTACAAYACCTACACTCAGACCCTGAGGAAGAAGAACAAGCACACAGTCCGGGATGTGCGAGACATCTTTGGCACCGGTGACTCTCCCGTAAGTATCCTAGCGAATGCATTTGATCTTAATTTTTATGCAATTTGCAAGTAGTTCACCCAAGTTTCCACCAGACAGGAACCCTTTTCTGCTGGCAATGTACAGCCAGGCATTAGCAATTTCTGACCCTAAGACAATATTTTTAATGCTGTATGCACTACATTTGAGAGGAAAGAAAGAGCCCAAATACAATAGGTGGTATACAGTGTTGCAACTAACCTGTTAACATAATGTTGTGTCTGTTGTCAGCCTTCCTGCTGCAACCTCTTATCCAGACTATCATTTACTCCTTTATTTTTTGGAAATTGGTGAGTTACTCTTGGCAGCTATTCAAATTTTTGATGGCTTCTGGGGACACTTGCRATTTACTCAGCAGTCTCAGTGGTGAAGTAAAACTTACCTAATGAAGCAACTGGGGTTCAAATATGCAGATGCAATTAAACACCTGCCAACACCATTGTAACTGGTACACTGGCTGTTACATTTCACTTACRTAGCAAATGAAAACCTATTWACAGTTCCTTTGCTTYGTGGCTTCAGAAATCAGCAGTACCTCTTGAGGTTTCATCCMCTTTTCCRTGAGGATARCTCTAAATGCACCRGTTCYTGTCACCACATGTTTTGATTTAGGSAATGCAGTAAACCATGTGAGTTTAGTCCASTGCTCAAAGCAACMAAGGTGATTTTACATTTATCAMTCATTATATCTTAAATGGKAGTCACCAACAAGCTCRCAAGCTCACYTTTGGAATTAATATTAAWTTTTTTGCCATTACAAAACTCTGAGAAACTCTTTTTCATTATGATATTACTTTRTCCTTTCCTGTTTGTTCTACCTTCTCCTCAAAGCTTGATATCCTGAATTTTTATTTTTTTTTAAACTGGGAAATAAAGTTGTAGCTGAAGAGTAATATTAAAATTAGAAAGATACAATGTCCAGATATTTAAGGTATTTGTCTCTAAATTAAGTGTCTGGATTCTTTTGAACCTCTTGCACATATCCCAGAAGTATCCCGTAGTTTCCTATGGGCAGATTTTCTTTCATGAGAGATTATCAGGCATGTTTGAATGAACATTAAAAAGTTGATGGTACTTCTGAGTAGATTAGCACACTTCTCCTGATTCAAGTATCTATATACCTTAAGGTGTTTAATTTTTTTTACAAAATCTTAAGTTTCCTAACAAATTTCAATCACCTAAATAAAGTTTGTACACTTCCTCTCAGGTGGGCACATTACTGATCTATTTTTGACCTGCTTATTTTTCCACTTCTCAATTGCTAAAGCTTCTCACTTGCAAAGGGAATTTGGCTCTTCGGAACTATTGCTCTTCAAATCAGAGTTTTATCTCCTYCAAAATTCGGTTCACTTGCTAGTTCTGCATTGTGAAAGTCTGAAAGATAAGATCAAATWGGTAATTAAGTCTTCTAATTCTTCTTCCCACAGAAATATGTAGTTCTGCAGGTGCTTCCTAGATGTTAAACACAACACCATCCAATTGACTGTGAAACACTGTATTTCTGAAAGCCTTCAAGGCTCCCAACCCTCTTAATTTTCCCATTGACCAGTGCTCCTATCTCTGCTGGTTATTATAGGATTTAGAAACCTTGTCCTAATTATCAGCTCTTCAGGGATAAACACGCTTCAGGAGGGCTTGTGTGCCTGACCTAAACGTTTCCCAAGTAGTCTTTTTAAGGGGATATCAGCAGTCCCTGGAGTTTTGCTGCCTCTTTGGGCATGGYACTGCAGCTGCCTGTGGATCTTCGTGATGAATCAGTTCAGGGAAGAGAAGAACATTTAAAAACAACCCAGCCAAAAGCAAAGAGTGACAGGGGATGGAGAGGGACAAACCTTTTCAGCTCAGCTGGTGAAGAGAGGCGGGGAAGGAGACTGCTTGAAGTGACGTGGAGTTCTGTTTTCCCATCCTGTCTTTTAGTTGGGAASTGAAGAAGAAAACATGCTGCAAATAGCAAACCAGCTCTAATTGTTTCACATAACTCTATAATCCTCCCATTAGGAGGATGGATTTACACCCTCTTCCCAAGAACCTAAGAACTGCAAGAGCCTAGAGGGATGGGTCACAGGATGGATTACTCTCTTCCTTGGCTAATGATGAGAGAAAAGGTGATTATCTCACTAGGGTCACCTGAGATGAGATTTAGGGACCAGTAAAGAGGCATAAATTAGTTGTCATCTGGAGTGGGGGAAGGAAAAGACAGATTTGCCCTGGGGTTTTTTTTTTCTCTCTCTGTTCTGAAAAACCCGCCCTGTTAGATGTTTTGCTACTACTGCCTTGTGCCCTGGCTCTGCAGGGGGCAACACAGACCAAAGGGTGCTTTTCCAGCCATCCTGCCTTGAGATCCATGCCCTCATGGCAGGAGTGTCCCCTCAACAGACAGAATGGACTGAAATAAAAGGAAATGCAGTTATTTCTCATTTGGTAGTTTTGGTTGGTTGTTTTTTTTTTTTTTTTTCTGTTGCCTATCCTGGAATGGTGCCATGATCCCTAGAGGCAAAATTCTGCCCCTTCCTGCATCACCCTTCCACGAGCCATTCCTTGGTTGGTAGAGCAGCCTGTCCCAGCTCAGGTGCTTTACGCTGCTTCAGACAGCTCTAGAGCCAGCAGACCCGACWGACCACCACATTACCGAGCTCTAAATTGGATGGTTTAGTAATCACAGTGGTCTGATTTTCCTTACTGCTGGTACCCTGCTGCTTCCATCAGAAGCCATCGGCTCTGCTGGTGCTCAGAGCYGAGAAAAATCAACAGCAGAATACAAATGGGGGACACACACGCATTGGTTCTGTTATTGGAGGGAGGAAGTGAAGCCCAACCCTGTACGTGACAATTAACTAAAACTCCTGAAGAGTTTTTATAACCATTTTACTTTCAGCAATGCATGACAAAATCATGTCCTAGTTAAAGAAGAATCCCTTACTAACCCAGAGCTGTTTGCATGAAAAGGTGTTTGTGATGGTAGGGCTTGGAAATATGAATATATTCAAAGCATGGGCAAATTGTGTCCTGGCCAGAGCTGGAAGATTATCCTCCTTTCCCTTTATTTCCCTTAACTGCAGGGCTGAAAATAAAATTTGATCTCTTTGGTGCTCCAATGATTTGGTTTTTACATCTTCTACAATGAGGGTAGCTGCTAAAGAACTGTCTACCTCATCTCCATCCTCTCCTTGCTCTTCTGATTTCATCTTCCCTTTGGAAATTCCTGTTTATATTGTGGCAGCAAACAGTGGGCTCATTTTTAGTGTGTCTAATGATCGCTTTCAGCCTGAAGGAAGGATATGGGAAGCCTCACCTTTGTTGGAGCCCCAGGCAAAGAACTAAAACTGTTCCAGTTTAGTTAAGGAGACAATTTGACTCTTAGTCTTTCACATTCCTTGAGAGGTCTTCAAAAGTTTTTTAATCTTCTTTTATAMTACATAAATAATCTGAATCTTTAAATTCATGCATTTAAAAGGTTTTATTCCCAGTCTTCCTTTTCTCAGATTAAAAAAAGTTGAGGGGGAAGGAAGACATTTCACAAAAGAGACATCGATTTGGTTTCTTGATCCACTCTCACTGTGGAGGATGGGGAATGGGGCTGAGAATCTGATATTTTTACATACTCCAGTTATTGTTCACAGCTCACATTATTCAGCTGCCCCAGGCTAGAGCCAGCCCTGCTGGGAGCCAGCAGAGGTGTGCAGCCCACTCCATCACCCACRTCCATGTCTGCCAGCTCTGCCTATCAGAACTGGCTTACTGCAGGTGCTTCACGACTCATTTCACCCATGTAACAAAGCTGGAAGTGTTTTTTTTTTTCTTAATAAACTTGACTGACTGTAAATCTATTCTGGCTACTGTTCACAGGGTCAGATATTTTGAGCACTGAAAGTAGATGAGCCAGTTGCTAATGTTTACCATTAATTTCTCCATCTGGATCTTAAACAGAAGCATAGCGACTTTTATGGCTGATCCTTGCTGAGGCAAGTTGAGCCATCCTCTCCACTTCTGTACTCACACCTGAAATTCGTAGTGCTTTTTTATGTCCTGAAGCTTTTTGTGTAAATGTTGTGGGATTTTATCATAAAAACATCCAGTTCTCTTTTTTTAAAAAAAATCAGTGGTCCTTACAGTCTTCTGGCAAAGGAAATCCATGTGACTCAAATGCTGTTTGCTATCAAGTTCACAAGACGTTGAATGGACTCTCTCAGGAGAGATTTTATTCATGTTACATTTGACTTTGCTACACGAATAGCTCAGAGTATAAGACTGAATAAAACAACTGCAACATTATGTCAGGATTCCAATTGGAAGAGCTGCCTGTCTTTTAAATATCTGACATTTTTTAGCAGCCTGAATGCTTCTCCCACACTTYGACTGCAATTGGGGAAAACAGAATTCCTGCCCTGAGGCATTGCTACTTGTTGATAAACAGCCGACTTAGCAATTTAAAGAGCAATTTAAAGAGTGATTTAAAGAGCTGGTACTGGGGGCTCTTGGGGGCCCAGAGCTGCAGGTTCAGCTGGAAAACCGGGTCTGCTCCATCAGGCTCAGGGTGGGTGAGACAGAAGGTTTGGGAAGGGCTGGGGCTTCAGGGGCTCCCACAAGGATGTGAATAACAGCAGAAAAAAACAAGGTGGGCTTGGAACATTGTAGTTATTTTTATTGAGTGACCTTCAGAGCATTATTTTATTTCCTGACCTTGTTTTGATTTGGTTTCTTCAATTCAAGAACGAATACATGAGCAGCTACTGCCCATGGAATACAAACACTCAGATTTGTTTTTATGAGCCACAAAACTGCTGAGAACAAGGCCAAAACTCCTCTGTTAAGAAGAGGTGACACTGCTTGRACGTCACCCCTTGGGCCACCAAGCCACTTCTCTGCAGTGCAGAATGATTTCTGGAGTTGAAAGAAATGAATTTGAMTATTCATGTTTCTTTTTTCCCTCAAATTGTTTTTTGCAGTTCACTAATAAAAGCATTAGCATATAACCTATGGGAAAACATCCATCCATTAATAACTTTCTGGTGCCCAAATCACAAGAGGTAGCAAACAGACTGATTCCTGACAGGCCCCTGGGAATAGCGGATACTCAACGTGTGCCAGAGAGCCTTCAAAAAGATTAGTGGCCAAAGTGATTAAAACCAGGGTGAATTACAATTTTAAGAGGACCTTTTGGTTAGTTTAATTCTGTACAGCAATTTACTTAGCTAATTTCAGTCATTTTGTAAGACAGGACTCATTAGGTACAGCAAGCTGCARTATTACTGACCTCCACATTGTCCAAATTTGTGCAGTCCAGGGAAGATTGATTCTCAGGCTTGGCTATGAAAAATGTACTCTGAGGAATCACAGCAGGTTGTTTAATCTCGTCAAAAGTGTGTAAGCTGAGAATGATGCTCCATTGCTTGAACTGTAGCAGTTTTTGTCCATAGATGTTTACATTCACTGCAGTCTGATYGTTTTTCCTTGCCTATCAGCCCACATTTGAGACAGTTCCAGTGTCACCAGTATCTTCTAATGGTATCCAGCTTCCTGGGCAGAAGCCAGTTTGGAAATCAGTTAGCTGTGAGTATGACAACATGTAACCAGTGTTCGCTTCCTCCTAGTGAAATGACAGAAAGACCATTTTGGGGTTCAGAGGTTATTCCCCTCTTTCATTTTGGGGCAGTGCTGCATGTATTTCCTTAAAATCATTGTCAGCTTATTGTCATGAAGGAACCAAATTTTCCCGTTAAAGATTGGTGTCTTCAATGGAAGACACAGAAAAATGTTGATCATTGCAAGGCTGGAAATGTAAAAATAACCTGTAAACAATATGGTGCAGAATTTGTCCAAAATACGTCATCAGTGTATTTTCTTGTTGCAAATCATGAAAAAAAGAGGCATATTTCTTCCATATTTCTTCTCCAGTACTGCAGAAACTGTAGTATTAGAAATTTATAATTTTCCTGGTTCTGGGCTATTATTCTTATCTATTAATGGTGTTATCCCTTAAATGCTTTGCCCTGACAGTGATTGGCAGTGCTAATGGCAGTGCTAATGGCAGTGCTTCTACTCAGTGTCTGAATAATTGTCAGCAACCTTCCATGGGAATGTTCATCTTTTACTTTGAAAGCTCTTCCCATCGCCATTGTGCAGGGCTTAACAAAAGGGATATTAATACCCAAATTTCTAAGCTCGTCCCTTGGATGTTTGCCTCTGGATACAGTGCCACAGACATTTTCCTTGGTGGCAAAAGCTGCTCTRCTGATACCTCTGCTCTGCAAGCAGTTTTACTGAAATAGGTGGGGAACCAAATGCCAGGGGTGCCATGGACATTCTGTGGTCCCGGGTCCAAGGGTTGAAAGAGAGATGGAAAACATCTTAAATGTCTTGGACATTAAATAACAACTAAAGCCACAGTTAAGAGCCCAGAAGCCACTTAATAACACACTTAACTTTTTTCATATCAGATTTGTAAAATAAAGGGTGTTGCAAAAAATATTTGTGTCTCTGTATCTGTAAATGCAGTCATTCAGAGAACTTGGGGCATGCACAGGTTTATAAGATATTCAATTTTTTTAATTCACTCTCTGATTRCCATGGCTTTTGGATACACTTGGGTCATGTTAGTAAATTCTTCTCTGCAGTCCTGGGGTCTGAAATTTTACTATACTTTCAATTAAATTTATGATTCCATCTCAACTGGGTCTAGGAGCAGAACCTTACAGGAAAACTAAAAATTGACCTGACATACTAGAGATCCATCAGGAAAGTTGGCAACCCTGGAACTCATGTATGTTATCACACTTTGGCCTCCATGACAATAGCATATTTCTGGACTTGATTGTACTGATTTCAAAAATTTTCTTCTGRCATCCAGTAATTTAAGGAGGTAACTAAATTTTAGAGAAAAGCTTTAAGTCATTTCACAATATCTGCTAGAAATGCCAGTAGATACAGCATTTTTCAAACTGGAATATTGTACATTTTGTCCTCTTTTGGTGCTACATCACCAAACTATCAACAATGAGAAATATGCATATGTGACCACATAAAATATATGCACCATGTCTTGTTATTGTAGATAAGTCATCAGTAACCTGAGAAACAGTGCAAGCAGCATTTTTCTGTCAAGACCTTTTATTTTCAATTGTTTGCTTGACAAGTGACACCACAGTATGCTGGCCTGGGTAGACAAGGATGGAATACAAAAACCTGGTAGTTCCTGATAAACAGGAAGGTCCAGCTTGACTRTCTTTCTCACAAATAGCAACAAGTTAAATGGTGTAAAATGAAAACAGGGATTTTATTTCTAAGGGGTTATTTCCTCGAAACRAAACAGGAACATGCTGTGGTTTGCACTGAAATTCCTCTTTGAAGTCCTKCCTTCATTACTTTCTCAAGAATTTTGTCAACTTTGTTCAATTTTTTAATGTCTCTGTACTAAATGCAAGCATGCATTCATTGATCTATAATTTCCCTTATTTTCAGCTAACAGTTGTCTAGACTGTGGAAYAGATAAAGGCAGCCCATCCATAACAGAAGAGCTCTCCTATGAGGTCTCTTTCTCAGAATCCATTACAGTCCTTCCAAAAACCCAAGAGTGGCCRAAAAACCAGAGATTCAAGAAGGAAGACTCGGCTTTGCCAGTAAGTTTCTTCTCCATGTATTTTCTCGGTTGTTTTCTTTAACACAGCAATTTGCTGCTTTGTATCCCCAGCACACCGGGGTCTGTAAGATCCATGATCTGTCCTTCGCAGTGTTTGCTTTGTAGAGGCTGCTCGCTGTGCCTGGGATTGATTCCCAGGGAGGCACCAAAGCTCATATGGATATCCAAGCCAAGTTTTTACTTGTACTCTTCATGAACATGTGTACCCAGATGAGTACGTGTAACTCAGCCCAGGAATATTGCATCATCCACAATTTTCTCACACAGAAATAAAAACTGCTTCCTCCCATTAAAACTAATAATCATTTTCATTACTGGTCTGCTTTCTCACTTTTTTCCTCACAGATTATCTGCCTTTGTTAACATATGGATTTAAAACTGCTTTGCAGATAAAGGGGGGAAAGCAAACCTTAGTCCTGCAGCAGTGCTGGCTGTCTCTGGTCAGTATTCAGAGCAATCACACTGTAGGAAATACAACATGAATTATTCAAGAAAAGATTGCCACATCATCCAACCAGACATACACTGAAAGTTCTGTCATCACCTGGAATTATTTCATGAAGTCACGAAAGTCAGTTTTCTACTTCCATCAGCCCTCACAACTTCCATCAATGAAAACTGGAGCATTAATTTAGTGCTTCCAATACCACCTCTTTGGTGACATGTAAGAAATAGCTGTAAATTATGTGGAATAATTTCCTGAATGTTATGATGTTCTGAGGTCCCAACCCAATCAGAAATTGTTACAATGCACACAGACAATGAATTATGTGACAATTATTCAGTTGTCCATCTTAGAATTCCACCAAGAAGAAGAAGGTGAGATACAGAATTAAACTTCCACGTTGAAAGATAAGACACCAAGTAGATGACACAACTTATGWGAAATTCCTGTGGGTTTTTCTGGGCTTTTGTTGTTTGGGGGTATTTTTGTGGGAATGACAAACTGTCCTGTGCAGAATAAGGGTATCTGCATTCATCATGATTTTGGTGTTTACTAAAACATGTTCACACTCACAGATTTTTCTCTGCAACAGCTCAGATAATTCCCAGTTGATGTAACAGGGAAACTGGGGACAACAGGGGAACAGAAGATGCTAATTTGAAAATCATGTCTCTGTGGGTTCATAATTGATAAGTTTTAGAAAACACCAATATTGTGCTGGAGTTGAGCTGCTCTACATGGAGGACATAATTCTGTGAGCTCAGAAGACCACACAAGAAACATGCCAGGTCATTGCAGAGTGTTTCTGAATAAAGTCAACAATCACAGCTGYTGATGTTGGCCTTTCCCTTACTTCATCTTTTGCCACTTGTAGTGTTTGGTTTTTTTCCCATGATGACTCAGACTGTAATGGAGCTCAGCAGAAAAATCACTTCTCGCTCTGTTACTCTGAGCAGCCAGTCCCCTATGCTCGGAAGGATTGTCCCTCCGTCCCCATGGTGAGACARTGGGGCTGTGCTGGAGGCTGTGCAACATCACTCTTTCTCCAGGGTGGGTCTGACAACATAACCAGCTTCATTGATGGTGTGTACAGAGCTGCACAGAGAGATAATATATAACATAAAATAGCCTGTCTCTGCAGCAGGGAGTCCCCTGACTCCCAGAAGAGTCAACTTCACATACCCAGGAGTGTGGGGATTTCCCAGTGTACATGTGAWTTCTGCAGTGTGGGACCATGATCCATGTGACTCAGCTGAAGATATTGCAGAACCACAAGTCTGAGTGCACTGTGCAGTTCCACATAGAAATAAGGTTGCAAAATATCAGACACGATCCTTAGCTGGAAAGTTAGTAATCTCGTGTCAGGATAGCACAGCATCCTTCAAAGGAAGGAAGAAAAAACATTGGAAATTGTAAGAAAACATTGTAAGAAAAAMCACTGGAAAATTGTGACACAAGACACGAGAAAGCTGGCCAGCCCCAAAACTTGTATTAACCACAGCATCACATCATAGTGACCCTACAARTCAAAGAGCCACTGTGGAAAATCTTTGTAGCATCCTTTGCAATCAGCTTGGCAGTGCTTGGAATGTTTTTCTCTTACAAAAAAAAATATGTGTATACAACTGGATTTTTGTTTTCCTTTTTTCCAAAGTGATTTATTGCATTTTGACTACTTTTGGACATTTTGCATCACTGGAACCAAAATGTGTAGATATTCTTAAGTATGTTATGTGTCTTCAGAAGGCWATCCTCCATGCAGCTTTTATTAAGTCTCAAAATAAGGGTAACAGTGGAATTGCTGAATTTTAAGGAGGGAATCTTCTGGCCTAAAATGCCCCAGGCAGTATGTAAATAAGTTATTCCATTGCCTGCACTCTTTCTTTCCCAATTATTATTAGCCTCTATTGAAAGACCATGTGTAGTGTAGTTTAGAAAGTCTTAAACAACATGATTTAGATAACTTTTGTRCTCCCTTCCTTTTGAAAACTGGTRTAAGTTTAATTTTTGGTTTGGATTSGTTTTTGGGGTGGGRTTGTTGGGKTTTTTTGTTTACCCCTTCCTTAATTGGCTTGACTGGTTTGATTTAAAGATGAGTAAATCATTTTGATTYCAAATTTGTTAAAATAATGAAGGCCTGAGCTTAAATCTCCAGAAGCAAAACATTRCTAGAGGCTGTGTTTCCACTCAGTTCCCTAAAGGAAGCAAATRATTTGTAATACTATTTATTTATACCTCTGACTAACAATTCCTGGTTTAAATTACAATAAATTTAAAAAAACATTAAATACCAAAGATCCACAGTTCTTTGAAAAGCATGTTTTTTACTATTACTTCGTTGTTATGTCTAACAATTATGTCAGAAACTGATGGGTGTTTGTTCTTTTTGACATTTGTACAAACGCATCTGTCATGACACAACATTCCTGGCTCTGGTCCACAACACTGCAGTTTCTAAAATATGCAGACATCTTCACATGCCCCCAAATTACTCAGTATCGTTTAGTTCAAGCCTACTTGAATAAATTACTTCTTAGCTGCTGGGAGTCTTGTTTTTAAGCCTAAAGKCTTCTTGAGTAATAAAAAATACCACTAAAGTTGGCAGGTTGGCTTCAGGACGAAGCAATTTTGCTTCTGGGCTTTTCCTCAGATCTTTAGTTTGAAGTCTTCTGTAAGAGTTCATAAATTAATAGCGTTATAAAAAGCAGTCATGGATTCATTACACACACACAATTGATACACAACCCTATCCATRATTAACTGTGTCAGCCACTTCAACAGCATTCAGAGACATTGTGGGGAAGGCAGAAAGCAGAGCAAACTGCTACATCCTGCTGAAACTGGGCAAAAAGTTAAAAGAAGCCTGTGCCTCATTTGTCCCAGCTGCAGTRCAGGTACTGAGGTGCTTCAGCACCTCTGCCCAGTCAAACTGCAAAGAGCAAGGTGAGCAAGAAGCTCAATTTCATGTTCAGGTGGATGCAAGCTGTGTCAGCAAACCAGGCCAATATACAGGGCTGTAGTTCATCTATTTGTTTTTATCCATCTGCCCTAACACAATTTCCAATCCCATACAAGCACCTCTCATGAAACAGAAGTTCACCTCCTGTAATTTTTGTGCAAATAAAGATGCTACCCATCTCTCCTGTAGAAATTCATCGTTCGGAAAAGCCGGTTTGGACTGACAGAGGTTGGGGACCTSTCTCCTGAAGACATGAAGAAGATTCGCTACCTCTCCCTGATCGAGCTCACGGCCTTCTACGACGCGCTGGGCGTGGAACTGAAGAGGAACCGTGTGGAGAGGGTCCGGGGACGAGGTACTGTGACTTTGCAGTCACCTTCATGCTGGTCAGCTTTGAAAGAAGGTGCTTGCGAGGCTGTGTTTCCTCATTTTCACTTTTGTTGTTACTGTTTTTAAGAGAATGGTCTTTTCGGAGTCCCTCTCACCGTACTGCTGGAGAATGATCAGAAGAAGTTTCCTGGAATTAAAGTTCCCCTCATCTTCCAAAAAGTGAGTATCACTCAGCCTGCTTGGTCGCTGAGATCTGTTTTTCCACCATTTCCATTGACACTCGAAAGAGTGGTCAGATAAGAGAAGATGCCGGCTTTACAGACTGGCAGGTATCTACAGATCGTCTGACTGAATATTGTGGTTTGAAAACTTCATGACCAGGAGAGAAAATTTGCTCCTTTTTTTGTGTTTTATCTGTGATGGGGACCCTTTTTGATTTTTGAAATTTTGTGATACCACGCTGGAAACTTCAGGAAACAAATGTCTTTCTGTTTCCCTTTTTCATTAAATCAGAGARCCGTGCAAAATTATGTGTGTGCAGAAGTGGCAGAGATGAGTTTTCTCGGGAGTTTTAATTTCATATAAATTCAAACCATAGGTATTACCTAGCTACCATTCCCAGAATGGAAGTGGTGTCTTCTCATTGAGGTTTTTCTGACAAGACAAGGGTATTTATGTGAGCTGTTTGGCAGCTGGAGGCAGGTCACAGACACAAGCACGTGTGCAATTGCACAGATTCACACAGACTCCAAACTGCAACAGACTTCCCTATAAATACCGGCAAAAGGAGAATTGTCAGGGAGTGTCAGGGGAAAGACTGACACAACTTGAATATTTACATGATCTTGCAATCAGCTCCACAGCTCCTCTGTCAAGATACCATGGGAAATTAGAAAAATCCAAGTTCGGGCAGGAGGCAGATCTGGAGGTGAAAATCCAGAGCTGTATGATTAAATGCTAGGATTTTTTTTTTTTTTTCAATACTCAAAACTATGTAAAATCAAAACTTTTTTTTTTTTTTAATAAAAAATTAGAGTGGAAAGAGTAGTTCTTTATTTACAGTAATTTCAGAATATCCTGGGATAGTTTTCTAATCTGAGTTCTCAGTTCCAAAAAGCATATGTTATCTGTAGAACTTTCCATTGTGCTTCTTGGGGCACACTTAAACATTTCTCAGAGGTTATTTTTCCTTCAAAACACCATTGTGTTTCAAATGTATCTGYTCTTTTATTAATACATTTATGTGTTAATTGTTCTATACAACTCAAGTCAAGGACAGAGAGGCCTATTGCATTAGCAATTTTCTATAGTCTGCTTACTCCTTACTTCAGGGTCAGGAATATGGAGAACAAATTAGGCAGGTTATTTCCATGAACTGGCTCATTTTCATTAGCAGATTTCATAAAAATGTACATTTTTCAGATTAGTTTCAAGGATATCTAGATTAAAAAAAAAAGTCAGTATTATTCTTAAGTGCTTCAAATATTTTCCTGGATTTTGTTGTCTCTTCTTTCAGCTGYTGCTCAAGCTTGAGGAAACGGGTTTGGAAACTGAAGGAATTCTGCGGGTTCCAGGATCTGCTTCCAGAGTCAAGGTATAACACTCAAGCCAGTTTTCCATCTTCTGGACCGCAGACTCTGTGTAAAATAATACAGCATGCACACAAATTCACACTGCACATAAATACTGATYTGTGTAGCTCAGCATTCCTACTCCTGCCAGTGAAAGGTCAGATTAGTTCCTGGGAACCAATAAATCATAGAACATTTGGTCTATTGCTTTGCTTTAGTTAATGTTCTATATAAGGCACAGACTTGATGTTAAAYACAATTTTTCTCCGCAAAACTTTCAGACATCCTTTTAGTTTATCTCTGTCATCCAAAATTGCTGTGATCTTATCTCTGTTTTAATTTATTTCAGAAATTCATAGTTGCTAAACTGAGTGAACATCAGATAAAGATCTTATTCCATGTCATTTTAACCTCTGTGTCATTTTATTTTTCATTTATCGTCTGTGATCTTGCAATTTCATGTTCCAAGTGAGAGAAATTTGGCCTCTGTTCACTGCTGGCAGCCTGAAGTACTGCATTTTCACAGGCTATTTGTGGGYTATGAACACAGGATAATTGGCACCCAATAACCTGACACTGAGGGCCAGTAACATTTGCAATTGTTTCTCCAGACCAGCTTGATTCCGGGAGCTGGAAGAGGCAAATTAGAAAAACAGGGCAGTTTTCTCTTTG